TTMMTMMTTTTTTCTTCAGTCTCGAGGATGTTTTCTGGCCTGCACACATTTCTTCCTCTCTGCCTCGACTCCTCTTGTTATTTCCATATTTGGATCTCTTTCCAGATGTAGTAACTGCCCACTTTTGGACACTTACCAGAAATGGGTGCAATGTTGACTGAACAATCTCTTTGACTTTGTGCAGCTGTAATCTACATTCTTTGCATTGTTTTTGTTAAMGCTTCCTCTGATAATSATGAGAAATRAGCAGCTATTAAATGAGTGTCAATCTTTCTTGACTCCAAACATTAAAAGCTCCTTCCATCCCGATCCTTCTCCCTCAGGTCTCCTTCAGTGTGGAGGCYCGTGCTCGCGGTTGTCCCAAACAAAAGAAGAAGACCTTCATCATCAAACCGGTGGGCTTCAAGGACTCCCTCTCAATTACCGTCACCTTTGAGTGCGACTGCAAGTGCCAGGCCAAAACCCAGCTGAACAGCCCGAAGTGCAGCAACGGCAACGGCACCTACGAGTGTGGCATCTGCCTGTGCCACCCGGGCCGGCTGGGCCCGTACTGCGAGTGCGCGGAGGGGGACTATAACCCCACGGAGCAGGACCGTTGCAGTGGGCCCGCAGGACCKGGGGGTCCTCAGTCCGCCATCTGCAGCGGCCGCGGCGACTGCGTGTGCGGCCAGTGTGTGTGCCACAACAGCGACTTTGGGAAGGTCTGGGGGAAGCTGTGCGAGTGCGATGACTTCAACTGCCTGCGCTACAAAGGAGAGCTGTGCTCAGGTAAGACTTCAGGAGCTGGAGCTTCAGCTTCCGTTAGCTCTTCAGCTCAACGACWGGAGCTGAATCAGTCGTGATCTCTTGGCGGGGATTATCATGCAAAATCAACTCCTTTTAGCTTTATATCATGTTATGTCATTCCARCATCACAAACATYCCCAGAGTGTTGCTTTGACTCATTCATGCATGTTTGAGGAACTCATGAATCTCCTGTTTTAGCCATGTGGAGCTGCAGAAACACTTYCTGGTACAAAGCACCACCTATTTACCCAAAGCTCCTTCCTGGAGCTCAGTCCCAGCCAAGCCCCTCCCCCTCAGCATTGTTGGGAAGATGTGCTGAAGTGGGAGTGTCAGAAACAGTAGGAAGTTCTTAAAGAGACAGAGGCTAATTTAAAGGSAAAATCAAATTTATTTTCAATATATACAGCATTTTCATAACACATGAACGCAACATAGTTACTTCATTGTGGTACAGAATTGAACTATGTGCCTGGAAAATACATAATACCCCCCTTTAAAGCTAAAAAGGCAAAAAAAATCATAATGTTCACGTTCATGTGTTTGTCTGTTCGCAAAATATTTCAWGAACTACAAGTTGAATTCTAATAAAACTCACAGGAAAAATTCATTAGATGTATCTCTTCAACTGATTAACTTTTGGAGTCATCCAATTCAAGTTGGCCACCACAGCTGACTGATCTTAAAAAAGGCAAAGAAAGCTGTAACTTGGTCAGTTTTACATATTGGCAGTAGGTGAGACTGAACCCCAACACATATCTTGACTGCTAACAGATTGCTTGAGAGATTTATCTTAAAATGTTGCCATTAACTGTTGGATTCAACTCTGCCTATCTGTTAGCAAAATACCTCATGAACCACTGGACAGAGTTTAATAAAACTTTCAGAGAGTAACCATTAGATGCACATCTACAATTGATTCACTGAGTAACTCTTAGGAGTTAATCTTAGAAAACACAAACATTTCTATTGTCAATTTTTCCACATAAGATGGTCTTGGTCTAATACTCTGACATGAAGTACAACCTGGGATATATATTATTTATGGAATGCAAGACCTTTTTATTCAACTACATATACTGTTTAGTTGCTAGAATTAAACCCCACACAAGGAGAAAGTTTGGACATTACATTTTGATTTTAAGATCCATGAATCATGTTAGACTGATGTCAGAATCGCTGACATGTTCCAGCTTCTGAACTCTGTTAAAGATTGTAGTTTCCACATCACTGACTTGATTATTTTTGTGCACATGAATGGTGTAAGAGGGAAAAACGACCCACCGACCACACTGTGTGCAACAGTGGCAGTGGATGTGTTTACAGTAGCGCTGAGGCTGGCGGTCCTTTAAACCATGCTGACTTGCCACCCACCTCATCTGGGAAGAATTACACGCAGTAACAACTCTCCCAGCTGCACAGAACACGGGCTCCTTTCACCATAAACATGTGCGGCTGCGTGCGCACCATGTGTGCGTGTTACGCTCAGGTTCCGTGTTTCGTGTCAGCCAAACCATTTTTTTGCATTAAGTCAGTCGCAGAAACCCCATTTTGGTGGTGCCGCTGAAGGATTTAAATGCTGGGAATGAGTTTGTCATCATCACCTTGTTATTACCCAGATTTCACCACAACAAACTGACTGGGTTCTCTGCAAACATCTGGATTCATCCTCCAATTTCACCTGCTGTCAAAGACRGCGTTTTAATTAGCACTTTAAATAATCACTGGTTAAACATGTACAAAAGTTGGAGCCAACGCTGTTCAAGGTGGCCACCACGACCAGCTGATCTTGGAAAACGCAACAATAGCTATAACAAGTTGTTTTTACAGATATTGAGCTAAAATTTGGTGTGTCAGCAGTTGAGATTAACTGCTGCATAATWCAGTAGTTGTCCTGACTACAAAAACTGTATAGAAAATGGGCAAAAATACAATTGAAGTCCAAAGAAAACTTGGGAAATATTTCAGAAAGCTTGAAGAACTACTGATCAAAACACTTTAAGATGATAATGATGATTGCGCCGTTCTGAGTAATTAAGATGGAGGTACATTGTGTGTAAAATAAAAAACAACTTGACCCCACTCCTCCTGTCCTTTATGCCAGGACAGTGTTATTTAATAAAAGTTGTATTTGCAGAAAGGATCCTATAAGTCCTTTAAGGGGACATATGCAAAATTACTTATTTTTAGTGCTTAAATACATTTCGTTTTGTACCTCGAGTGAGTGAAGCGTGAGGAAAAGGCTACATAGATATCTTTATTTTCTGTTTCAGTCGTATTTTTCAATCTATTTGGTTTTCTCGATTCCCTATTATGTTTTTTTGAACAATAATGTCGTAGTATTTAAAGTGGAACTGCTTAAAAAGCTCACCACTTTAGCAAACGTTTTTGAATTTGTTTTGGCAGCCATCTTGAATTTTGCTTCATTTACTTTTCCTATGGCTTGCCCCAATAATAAAAAAAGTCCAGTTTTCTCCTTTTAAAATACTTCTAGGCTGATATACGCTCAATTAGTGCTGAAACAAAAGAAAATATTTACCTTCTAATGGAAGTTGTAACTTTCTTAGGCTTGCTGTTTTCTCATTTGAACTCGTTTCAGGGATTAAACTAATCAGCTCCAGATTCTCTCCACATTCAAATGAGACTCTAACGCAACAACATGAACCTGAACAAAAGATTCTCTTGAATGCCAAAGAGCTGTGGTGTAGATTAAAGCAGCAGATGTGAAAAACAGAAATGGGAGAACAAAAGAAAGAGGTTTAATGTAAAGCGCTGGCGCAGGCTCTTAGCCTAATGCATTATTACATCATCAGATCTCATGTATCACTCCTTCACTTGCACTCACACAGAAATGTTTTTACTTTACTCCCCAAAGTCCGTGGAGTAACATGAAAATACCTCTCTGCTTACTCATTGGCAAGTGGGGCATAATGAGGCTAAAAATACCTCCATGTTTGGTCAGAGAAGGGCCATGTGGGAGAGCATTGTAGTCGTTCAGAGAGTTGGTCTGCACTGAACAATGTTTAAATATTGTCCTCAAATACCTAACTCAGTGTTTGGACCATTCTTCTCCCTGCCACAGAACGGTTTAATTAAAAGCCAGCGGTGCTGTGGTCAGAGGGTAACGACAAATTTGTTCACAGATAATCTTCTCTTATGTCCTGAGCYTCTTGAGCAGCTTCCTGTGTCATTGTTTATTTGGACATTGTTTTTCTGCAGCAGTAGACCGCAGTGTTTTCTGCGCCGGCACTCACACACTCACACGGATACAGGGAGTCACAACAAACCCATGATATGTGGAAACTTACACTCATATTTGCTGAATCACGCAGCTAAAAATACTAAAAGTAAAGCATCTCAGACATCACAGCCAGAACATGAATGAGGTTTTAAAGGGATCCCTGATTTGTTGTAACATTAGACTTTATTTGATACAAATTTATTTTAACTGTAAAATAAAGACAAAATATTGTAGGCTTTTTAGTTTTGTAAGTTCTTAAAAATATATTTTAACATGGCCATTTTATTTACATGCAAAGCTTTCTGGGTAAATGATGACATGGATAGGTCATCGGTGTGAGTGAGCTATATCCACCCTGAAGGTTAATCTTGGACAATATCTGATGATCGACTCTTTTAAATGAAACCAGAGAGCGTTGACAGA